ACAGTATTACGGGTTCCACAGATGACATTTTTTTATGGATTTTTTGTCAAAGCACTTAAGATATTCATTGCTATCGGGATGTTAAGAGCATTCCATGGAATATAACAAAAAGTGTATCTCGAGCTGGTTTCTGAAACTTACCTACCCCACCTTTAATGGAGGGATCTGCACAATACATCACGGTATCGTCCGCATAACAATGTAAAGTTGCTCCTGCTGATGTTCAGGTGTATATCAGTATGTAGTGTCTCTACTTTAAAGAGTCCTCTCCTGCTGATGTTCAGGTGTATATCAGTATGTAGTGTCTCTACTTTAAAGAGTCCTCTCCTGCTGATGTTCAGGTGTATATCAGTATGTAGTGTCTCTACTTTAAAGAGTCCTCTCCTGCTGATGTTCAGGTGTATATCAGTATGTATTGTCTCTACTTTAAAGAGTTCTCTCCTGCTGATGTTCAGGTGTATATCAGTATGTAGTGTCTCTACTTTAAAGAGTCCTCTCCTGCTGATGTTCAGGTGTATATCAGTATGTAGTGTCTCTACTTTAAAGAGTCCTCTCCTGCTGATGTTCAGGTGTATATCAGTATGTAGTGTCTCTACTTTAAAGAGTCCTCTCCTGCTGATGTTCAGGTGTCTATCAGTATGTTGTGTCTCTACTTTAAAGAGTCCTCTCCTGCTGATGTTCAGGTGTATATCAGTATGTAGTGTCTCTACTTTAAAGAGTCCTCTCCTGCTGATGTTCAGGTGTATATCAGTATGTAGTGTCTCTACTTTAAAGAGTCCTCTCCTGCTGATGTTCAGGTGTATATCAGTATGTAGTGTCTCTACTTTAAAGAGTCCTCTCCTGCTGATGTTCAGGTGTATATCAGTATGTAGTGTCTCTACTTTAAAGAGTCCTCTCCTGCTGATGTTCAGGTGTATATCAGTATGTAGTGTCTCACTTTAAAGAGTCCTCTCCTGCTGATGTTCAGGTGTATATCAGTATGTAGTGTCTCTACTTTAAAGAGTCCTCTCCTGCTGATGTTCAGGTGTATATCAGTATGTAGTGTCTCTACTGGGACATGTCTCCATGCTTTAATGTTCAA